TCCATTATTTTTTACCTCGGTATCAGATGGAGATAAGTAGCAAGCTTCACGGTCTGCCTACTTTACCCCATTATCCATCAGATAGGAGGTTGGGTAATCGTCAGATCCGGTCTGGACACTGTGGAGAAGAGTCCCTTGCCGAGACTCGAACCCCGGCAGTCCAGCCCGTTGCCATACCGAGATTTATTCCGACGGATACCAGTACCAGAATTCGACTACTAGTGATCATGAATGATTTCTCACGATTTTTCATGAGGATCAAAGTGTCGATGCATTTATCGAATTAACGTTGAAGTATCTGACACATGCTGTGGTCTTTTGGGTTGTGACACCGTGCAGTTTCGTACATGGGTAAGAAGGAGGAGGCGGTACTTTGGTACATCCAGACGACAACAAACATCACCTAAAAACTAAGACGGAGGAAATGCAGTGTACATTCCCTGCGAAATGTGCGACAGGTTTATCAGCAGGCTCTGGTAATATTAGCCAGTTGTTACTGTAATAATTCGAGAGATGTTATCAGGATAAGTCAACACCTCCCACCCTTTGCACTGATTACAGAACTTCCACCAAATAACATCAACACCTGCCCCTGCGTATATTGATCTCATAGCCCGCACAACAACGCAACCAACCCCCAAACACGCAGGTACACAGCCTTGGTTAGGATGTTTCTGATTACACTTAAAAGCACAGTGGTAATTATATATACCACCAGCTTTAGCATCCGGAAGCTCTTCATTCCTCATACATATTGAGCGAGTTCTCTTTCGTACGTTTCTCAGAATAACCGGCGATTATTTCTCTAAGCACATTACATGACCAATACTTTAAAGGGGCTTCGAGTTCTTTTTGTGCGGTATACGCTGAATTTAAAAATGTTACTTGCATCAAATTCGCGGCACAAGGGATTAGCTTCCTTGAATGTAGCAGTCAGACGTCTGCAGCGTTGGTTGGGCTTTCCTGCAAACCTAGAGCTGCCGTTGTGCGCCTTGAAAACAGCAAAACAGGCTTAAGTAATAGACTGGAACACAAATATTATGTTTCTGGGAATTTTCCATCTTCCTGTTTTTATTTAAGACACGACATTTTGGAGACTGTAGTATAAGGGACAGTCAAACGAAAACTGGTCACCAAGCATAACTCACAAGGCGCGCAAGTTGGTAACACTGGAATTTGCTTACGGTACGAACATCTGGTGGGGACTCAGGAAAGCACAGTGACAACGTGCCCTTGCACACTAGTTGCTTGTTTATTGTGCTGGAAGTAAGGTTAGCGCTACGTGGGGTCGCCCAACATCAGTAATGGAGGGGGGTAAAGAAGAACAGTGAAGTGTAGTGCGCTTTTTGACTGCTGAAGGAGTAGGAGGACGAGAAATTCATCGTCGCGTGTCTGTTGTTCACGGCGAACACAGCATGTCAGGTTAGCGTGTGCTGGCGTGGCATAAGAGATTCCGAGAGGGACGTGTGTCACTGCAAGATGATGCTCGCCCAGGAGAGGCTCATCGTGTCATCACTCCTGGTGTTATTGCTGCATTGGATGGTCATATCCGGGCAAGCCGACGGATCACTGTGAAAGAAATTAGTCTTTTGGTGGGAATAAGTCACGGCTCCGTACACGCCAGTGTGACATACCACCTGCTGTACCACAAAATCTGCGCGCAGTGGGTTTCACATTAACTCACGGAGGAACAGAAGACTCAGAGAATGGCTGCATCACTGGGTCACTTGCAACGATACCATAAGGAAGAGTATGCTTTTCTGTCCCGTATTGCCACTGGGGACGAAATTTGGTGCCACCATTTTGAACCCGAGACCAACGGCAGAGCCAACAGTGGAAACACGTGAATTCTCCCACACCAAAGAAATCCAAAGCCGTACATACAAGTTCCGGTAAAGTGATGATGACGTTCTTCTTTGACTGCAAGGGCCCTCTGCTTGTCGAGCATGGGGCCACAATCGGTGCACCGCAGAAACTGAGACGTGCCATAAAGTCAAAACGCCCTGGAATGCTATCCAACGGCATTATCCTTCTTCATGATAATGCACGCCCCCACACTGCCAACTCTGTGAGGAATGCGCTACAGAGATTTGGTTGGGAAGTGCTTCAACATCCCCCCTACAACCCAGATCTCTCCCCATGTGATTTTCACATTTTTGGAGACCTGAAGGAAGACATTCGTGGACATTGGTTTGCATCGGACGGAGACGTGTGGCTGGGTAAAGATATGTTTCTGTAGACATAACATAGGCTTTTTCAAGGATGGGATTGACCGTCTTATTTCCCAGTGGGATAAATGTATTAACAGTTTTGGAGTCCACTTTAGAGGTAATAAATATTCTTTAATATGTTATTGGTGGGAAAGCCGGAAGGAAGGAGGCCACTGGGAAGACCAATGCGTAGGTGGGTGAACAATATTAAAATGGATCTCAGAGAGATAGGATAGAATGTTATGCATTGGATTGATCTGGCTCAGGATAGGAGCCAGCGCAGGGCTCTTGTGGACACGGTAATGAGCGTTCGGGTATCATAAAATGCTGGGAAGTTCTTGAGCAGCTGAACAACTGGCAGCTTCTCAAAAAGAGCTCAGCTCCCATGAGTGAGCGAGTGAGTGAGCTCCATAGATTTGTCCCAACTTAGTAGGCTTTACCTGAAGACAGAGTCAGAATCCAGTCTCCGAAACGTCATGTCTTAAATAAAAGCAGGACAATGGATGATGTCGAGAAATACACGTACAATATTTGTATTGATGTAGCATCCTCATAAACGTTTAGTTCTTGTTAACGCACTGACAGTTCACACAAGGGAACAAACGAACAGGTTTCGGCAACACGTCGGGAACCCACAGTTCCGGCACTAACGATCCAGTTCACGGCATGTGAACTTCGTATCTAGAACGTCCTGGGTTCGAAACATGACCACAACACCGGCTATCCTGACAGAAGGTTTACTTCGAGTCAAATGTCGGGACAGAACCTCAATGTTCCATCGCTAGGCGCGACGGCGTCTGATGTGCCGGGAACGTCGTTACATAGAAGTTACATTAACTAGTTAAGCACTACGTCATGAAGGCGTATGGGGGAGTGGATGTATAGATCTACATCTTCTTGAGCTCGGCACTAGCTGGAGGTGAGTGGTCAGCTTCACGCCCCGGCCTCTTTACCCCCGGGGGAAAAGCCTCCGGTACCTATTGGACAGGAGGCTGGGTTGACCCCAGAGGCGGTCTGGACGACGTGGAGAAGAAAAAATTCTTTACCTTACCGGGACTCGAACTCCGACTCCTCGGTCGTCCAACCCGTAGCCAGTCGCTGTACTGACTGCGCTATCCTGGCTCCCCACATAAAAGATAAATGGGTGGAAATAAAGCATCACGCCATGAGGACGTATGGCGGTGTGGAGGTACAGCTACACGTATATCAATATCGTCATTATGTGTAAGTGGGCGGTTATATTCAGGCCACGGCAGCTTTATCCTAGGGAAAGACTTGAGTAAGAGGTCGGATTGGCCCCTGAGGATGTCTCGACGCTGTGGAGAAGAGACAGCACAAATGAGAAACACAAAGTGGGACCTCAAAGCTTGTAGAAGTGGGTCAGGAAAAAGAAATTGTCAGAATGGTGAAGCAGGCAGACAAATGAAGGCACATCCTGAACGGGTAATAAGTATGCAACGCTGCTCACTATCAGCAAGACGTAACGGTAATTGTGAACCAACCGGTTAAATGCTACTAATCCGTGGGAATTAAACGCGAAGCGCTTAAATAAACCAGAACCTTCCAGATTCATTTGAATTCCTAATATCACAATAGACGCTTGCGTCGTCGCTTTTCCTGCACCACCGATGCCTGGCGTCTCGCTGCTCGCTCGCTTCAAGCAGCTCCATTCAGTCAGTACCCGTCGCCAGGTTGACCCGAATAGACGCCGTGTCTCGTGTTACCAGTAACGCCGTCAGCTCGACACCGCGCCGCAACGCCCGCCAAATAAGTGGCCCTCACAGACAGACAGGTGTCAAAGTGTCACGCTGCTCTGTCTGGGAAACTCGTTCGCGTTTGTAATAATCACGCAGTATGAATTTTAAATAGTTTTGGAAAGTGCAATGTTTACAAGGAACTAACACGTATACTTACGCAATGTAACTTCCGAACTGACACAAAAAAGAACATTTCCAGCAACGGCTGCCTCAACTTCTGCAGGATTAAGAGTGAGTGTTTCTGCAACACGCATCACAAATGCGTCACGAATTTCTAGAACTCAACGAGGAAGTGCTTCTTTGTGTACTGCTCTCTTAATGCATGAACTTTTACACCTTCTTTCCAAATGTTGCCCGTGTTGCAATGGAACTTCATGTAAATAAAGTGAAACATAATTAAAGGGAACCAGCAGCTTCACTGACGCTCTTGAACCCAGTAGTTACCGAATTTCGCCAACACAGCATACCAATGGGTTTCCTATGGGAATAGTAAGTGACTGCTTCCCTATTATCCGATTTGTCTCTGTAATGGAGAATAGTATATGTTTCCTGTGAGGTAGGGACTTACATTTTTAAACGTTATTTATATTAATTTCAGGCTTCAAACAGTGAGATCGGGCGTATTAAGGCGGCATGCGACTGTGAACCAAGAACGCCGAGTTCATGAGTTCATTACTTGGGCAGGCAAGTTGAACTTGACTGGCAACTTGACTGAAGCAGTTAATGTGAAAGACAGTGAAATTTGGGGGTCCCAGGACAAAGAGTGAAAACATTATTTCTTGGTGCTATGAAGCCTAAGTGTCACAAGCAACATGACGGAAACAATAAATTTAAAATGTGTTAATAATCAGGCTCTTATTTGAAATTAATCGAGTTCAACACAAGAGACAACGCTACACGTACGTGCCAAGAGGTTCAGTGAATTTCAGAAAAACTGTGTTTCGTGTACGAACTGAGACCACGCGATATGGTGTGTCAAGTCGCGTTAGGCGATTCTATTTGCAAGTGTGACTGAGGCACGCGTTGACTTATTTACACTGAAGTTGTGTGCTAATGTTACACAGTAATAGCAATTACAGATAAAATCTACATGAAGTTAACATCACAAGTTCTAAGAACAAAATTTAAACACACGATTTGACGTGCTGAATGCAGTCTCATGTAATTATTCTCAGAACAGTTTGACCTGAACTTCAGAGCAGATTATCTCATCCCGTAAAAAAACGCTCAGTAATTTTCTTCTTGTCAGTGAATGTGACGTGAGTTCAAAAAGCCAGTCTGTTCAGATCAGAGTGACGCCTTGTCACGAATATAATAAATAAAATAAAACTTTAAAAAGATTTCGAGATTTAATAGTAATAAATGTTTGTGTCACGAAATAAAATTCACGGAAGGTCAAATAAGAAAGATTTACTGTTTTACAGACATTTAATTAACATCTGCCACTTCCCTGTTGAAACAGAACTAATTAGCACTGAACCGATATTCTGTATAACGTACAGTGGACCATAAAAATATTAATTTATATTAAACTGAACTTTTTGAACAATTAACTCTAGAAGTGTACCTGTGATGCAGGGACTAAGGAAATGTAGTTTCCTTAAAGTCCCCAATCCGCACCAGACTCCGTCAATACATCGCGATATAATTAATCTAAACCAGTTTTTGTATTAGAGAGTTCCATTAGAACTTCAATCTGGCAAATGACGCGAAAAGATAATAAACTTTAGGGATTTTTAAGTGTCTTCAAAAGTTTGATTGACAATTATGTCGATAAACTAGTACGGAAGTGTCTCGTAATCAGAGATTCATGTTTGTGCTTGGACTAGAATCTGACAGTTGGCTTAGATAAGGGGGTTCTAACGAACAGGTACCCGACACAGTGTCGGATAATTTTTCCGTTTACAAATAATGAAATATTTTTACTTCCCGTAAACAACAGTATAATGGTTTACCCACCATACGACATATATAGTAAAGAAAAGTAAATTTCCAGCAACAGGACTGAAACTGAGATCAACGTATTACGATATCAAGACTGAAAGTAACTTAAGCTCTCTGTTCGTGCGACTGATGTAAAGTTTCCGCGCATTTTAGCGGAGGAAAGCTTAAAAGCTTCCATGAAGCTGTAAATACAGACTGAGCTGCATCTGAAGACAGTTCAAGTGAATTTTATTAAGGAAATACATCTACTCTTACACTCAGAGTCCCGCGGTTTCACGCTCTTGTAAGCTTCTGCGTGTGACTAAGAAAGACTACAATTTACAGCCCGCAATAATTTAGAGCAATGATCGCTGTAGGACTGATGACGAACTGAGCCGTAAAGGAATCCAATTAATGTGCAAGCCAACCACAGAAGAGCGGCTGTTTCAAAATTTGAATGAGAACTACTGCACGCAGAGCGTTGTTGAAATGCCTGACTGGGTGTGATTTGCAAGCTGCTCGACCGATACTAACGACTGCATACCGTCGCGCAAGGCGCGTTCCGGCAAACATAGCTCTAGCGAATGAAGTCGCATTGTTCTGGCTCCATCGCGAATAAAACGACAAGGAAAAAATGTGACAAGATCAATTACGGAGCTGATACCCTGCAAACAGCAGCGGAGAACTACTGAGCAAGAAGTTAGATGGAAATATATTCTTCCATCGCTCAACCATAGAGAAAAACTGTACAATTATTGCCAGATCAATAAATCAAATTAAGTTTCAGTTATCTTCCAAATTCACAAATACTTTAATGGTGACATCACTACTGTCTGGAATGTTAGCGTCAAAAAAAAAATTAAAGAAAATGTGAATCAACAAACAATCCGACAGAACATTATATTATAAATTAAATATAATGTTATTAACATTATAATGTAATTTAATTTAATTAGAATTATTCGGTTGTATTTCTACACTGTAACCTCAACACAATTTACTATTAATTCCCTTATTTCTCATTTGCTACTGACGTTCTGTACAACGTTTTGGTGTCGCGCTGTTTTCTGTTGCAAATTCTAACGTTCAAACAAGAGAAGAGACGTTGGTTGAAGGAGCAGGCAACAAACAAGCGTTTAACCTACTTCCTCTATCAACACACGCGTTTCATTACGTCGCTGTCCTACATTTCCACAAACGTTACCAATTGAAACATCTGACTTGCCAATCGCATTGCAAAAACAATTCCTGTCCGTTTGTATATTACTTTCTCATGACAAGAGCGAAGTCACAAGACGTGCCACTCATTGCTGTCACGTGGCAATGTGAAACGCAAGTCAGAAGTTAAAGGAATGTTAGTGAACTGAATATTGCCAATGTCCCGGGAAGTGTCATCAACCTGTGGACCAAAGTAGAGGTGCAATTTCTAGCGAGCCCTTTTCTGATATCGTTACCATTCGCGATTCTTTGTTGGGCGTAGGGATATGTGCGGAGAGTTGTCTCACAACTTCTCGCAACTGCACATAGACAGCGCTGCCATCGCGTGTTCATAGTGCCAGTCCTCAAGATGGCCGACAGTACGACAATCCATCCACCTCCAGGGGCTGGCATCCCAGCCCTACGCTACAGAACCTGCCTAAACGCGACCGGCAACATCAGCATAGCTTTCTGCCTCAACGAGACCAACTTCGACGAGGAGCCGTTTCAGGAGTCACTGCATCTCATACAGAAAGTAGTGGCCGTTGTGGTGCCCCTGCTGTTCGGCCTCATCGTGTTGGTAGGACTGATCGGTAATGCTCTGGTAAGTACAGGCTGCGGGCCTCACGATTCTTCCAACTTTTTGTTGGTTCCGAACTATGCAGCTGTTTTGTTTTGTTTGTGTTTAATGACGGGATTATTTGTGAATAATCAATTGTAAACTATGTGGAATGAAGTTGTCGTGTCTACTTTAGGTACTATCTGGGTGTTTGGTTCGAGTGACTGAGGAAGAGTAGATAAACTCTAAGTCAGGATAGCAGGTAGCCGGGAGAGATCTGAACCCGGAACCTCCAGATCATAGCGTCTATAACACAGACGGCAGTGCGGTGCACTTCCAGTGGCGCCTTCAAGAGGTGGAACCTGTAAAGCTGGCCACGGATGGCAGGTGGTAGCAATTTTACGGAAACGGAAAAATCGTGTTAATTCACAAAAGCCCGCTCAACCCTCTTCACTTTTCCCACCTGCTACCCCCCGCACCTTGTCCACCTTCTTGCTCTTCATAATATATTTCTGTCCTATACTTTAACCTTTCTGGGGTACACACTAGTGTAGTTGGTTGAGATCGAAAGATCGCGGGTTCGATTTCCGAAGAGGTCACTGGATTTTTTAGTTAATCTAATCCTTCCAGCCACACTATGGCCCTGGGATCGACTCAGCCTCTAACAGAAATGAGCACCAGGAATCTTCCTGGGGGGTAAAGGGCGGCCGGCGCGTAAGGCTGACAATATCATCGCCATCTGTGAGCCGACCATCTAGAAAATGTGGGAGCCTCGACGTCTCACAACCCTATGGGCCTCCACGGCCTGTTACAGGAGAGCTTCACTTATTCTCACCGCCATCTGTGAGCCGATTGTCTATAGAATGTGGGAGCCTCGATGTCTCACAAGCCTATGGGCCTCCACGGCCTGTTACAAGGATATCTTTAGTTAACATCACCGCCATCTGTGAGCCGATTGTCTAGAAAACGTGGGAGCCTCGACATCTGACAACACTCATGGGCCTCCATGGTCTGTTAGAGGGATAGTTTTACCTTTTACCTCTCTGCGTTGGCCACACGGAAGAATGCTCTGTATTGTGTGCAATTCCGCACTCTATTTGTCCCCTGTGCAAACCTGTCAAACATCCTTTCAATACTGTCCATCTGCTATCGAGAGCAAACACACCAAGCGGTATATTCGCGTGTTAGTCAGCGTACCACGTACCACCGTGTTTCCAAGTACCGTTCACATTCTCCCGTATGTACGGGGGCAGACGCGAAGAACATCAGAAAGCAAAACACGGTGGCAAAATAACAAACCACAATGCCTGAATTGGTAAGGTTAAAGTGCAACACTGGCAGGTTTCATTAATATTTCTGTATATGACAAATCACTTGAAAGACTGACGCGTAGATGGCAGGATATTATTAAGAATTATATTAAATATTGGAGTGGGTGTAGACTTGATTAATCTGGATTAGGATGGGGGTCCTGTGGCGTGCTATTTTGAATATGGTAATGAACTTTCAGGTTCTATGAAATTTCTTCACTGGCTCAGTGGCTATTTGTTTGTAAAGAAGGCAAAACCAAAGAAGGGGAACACCCGTTATCTAATAGGAACAAGATCTGGTACCGTATACAGAACACAATAGAACAATATTCAAATGTAATGAAACACAAGAGTTATAATGAAATTTATATTTATGACCACTATTATGGATCCACATTAGTAACACAATTCGAGTTAGTACATTTAATTGGGTCACGCCATAGCTCAAGAGGTTAGTCGCTGGCTTCCCACCGCGGCGGCCTGGGTTCGAGCCCGGGTCTGGTCAAGTAGGATTTGTGATGGACAAAGTGGCGCTGGGGCAGGTTTTCTCCGAGTACTTTGGTTTCCCCTGCCAATCTTCATTCCACCAATTGCTCCACAATCATTTTCACCTATAATCTGGGGCTGGTACAATAGGCCAGAAGTGGCCGCAGTACAAGGGACTTAGTCCCACCCCACTAGCAATAAAAAAAATGTAAATTTCATGAAATTTTTCTTGATGATGATCCAGTTGGATCGAAATATGCAGCAAATATATATAATAAACGAATATTGGTTTACTCATTACGAATTTGTTGTGGTGGAGTTAATTACTTGTGACGGAAGCAATTTAATCTGACCATATGCTGAGAAACCTGTCTGTCGATGCACAGCCACTTCATGGCACTAAGCCCAATGCTTAATTGATTTAGCCCGGTCCAGTCCTTTTCACTTCGACCCACCTCCCTTGCTGTTATCATATTCGTCAGTGTTTCCGCTATCATAAACATAATTCAGTTACTGTGCATATCTATGTAACTTCTCGACCAAGTGAGAGATCCAAGCTTACAAAATCCTAAGTAGACTTAACGATGGATTCGAGGATCTCACAGCGCACGTGTTGGCGTATAGTCCGGTAGAATTTCACAGACATTTCGAAGGAACCTAGTACCTACATCTTAAGTTTCGAAACAACAAACAACCAGAAAGCATGGCCTCGCTTCGTTGTCTCGTTCACTCTTGTACCCTCAGGACTGAGACAGCATGTTCCTCAGAAACGTCGGTGAGCTTATACAAGACTATACGGCATCACATTCCCAGGCTACCTTATTTTGATCGACGTTTTCTGTTCACAGTAACGAAAAAACGCTGTCTCCCTTTACTAAGAGATTTCGAACATCACCGTAAATTGACCATTTAGTGCTTAGTGAATGCATGAAGAGCACAAGAGGTCAGTACAAGCGCTTTTACACGTGGAAACGGCCAATCAGGCAGGCAACTCATCACATAAACGCTTAATCCTCTTACCCATAGATTTCCAGCTTATCACTGACCGGCTGAAATGTTCCTAAAAGGGGAGGTAAATGCACAGCTGGGGGGAAATTAATTCCCAAGTTCCAGCAGTACAACACAGTTCGTAAGGCTGCGAACTCAAAATTATATCTATCTACCCACCCATCTACCTGTCTATGCATCTATCTCTCTATCTATGGCTCTACGGTCCTTTTGTTGGACCTTGGCCGATTTTTCAATTTCTTAATCCTACACTCAGTCGGTAGGACTCCTTGCACGGGGGATCAGTCCGTTGCAAGACCACTATCTACACGCAGAACAACACAAACACAGAATAAACGTATACAGACATCCATGCCTTGATTGGGATTCGAACTAACGACCCCAGCGTCCGAGCGAGCGAAGCCAGTCCATGCCTCAGACCGCGCGGCAGCCGAGTAACACGGCTCAGAGAGCTACTCAAAAGCAACACGGCACCTCGCAGCCACAGCGCTTTACCGGGCCGGCTCGAGTGAAGCGAGCAACAGAGGAGGATACTACTGAAGACGCATCAGAGCAACTGGCAGTTAATTAAAGCGCGGTATGCCGGCTGGATTTCGTTTGCTTCGGGTAAATTAACCCAATTTCGTTGTACGACACACTATAAATTCGCGACGAAATTACGTTTGTTTTCCACGGAACTCCAGTGATGGCACTGAAGGAGATTCTGCAGTCTCGACCCCACATAATGAATGCTGGAACTGCACTCGAGTGCAGTTGTTACATTCGTGTCTGCTGCTACAGAACTGCTTCAGTTTTCAGCGATATGCTCCCGAGAAGTGTCAACACGACATTTACATTCTGTCCGCAAGACGCGCCTTCCCGCTAAGGAGGAATGTACTACAAGGAACAGAGATCTTGTTGCTCAAACAGCCAGTCTCTCTCTCTCTGTATACAATTTCAGCTATACGTTTGGGGCACGCGGTGGCGTAATTGGTTGAGGCATTATGCTACAAGCCAGATTGTCGCGGGTTCGATTCCCGATGACGTCATTGCATTCTGCAATTGACCTAATCCTTCCAGCTTCACTATGGCCCTGGGATCGACTTAGCCTCTAACAGAAATGAGTACCGGGAGTCTTCCTGGGGGATAAAGGGGGGCTGGTAACTTCACCGCCATCTATGAGCCGAGAGTCTAGAAAATGTGGGAGCCTCGACGTCTAACAATCCTATGGGCCTTCACGGCCCGTTACAGGGATAACTTTACTTAACCTCACCGCTATCTGTGAGCCAATTGTGTAGAAAATATGGGAGCCTCGACGTCTCAGAACCCTATGCGCCTCCACGGCGTGTTAGAGGGATAGCTCTATTTAACCTCACCGCCATCTGTGAGCCGATTTTGTAGAAAATATGGGAGCCTCGACGTCTCAGAACCCTATGCGCCTCCACGGCGTGTTACAGGGATAGCTTTACCTTTGTGTGGAAACATTCTAACTGATAATAAACAGACGTGGAATGCGCTGTGCAGAATTACGTGGCTGGAAGCTAAATCTGTTATTTTACGTGTGCTAAAAATATTTTCATAACATGTACAGAAAAATAAACACGGCACAGCTCAAGTATGCATGCATAATTATATACACTGACTGGTCCGTGTTTTGCAATTAAACTTGTGTGCTGCATCGCCGACACGCCCTTGGCGCATGTCACAGGCAATCATATCTAACTGAGCTACGTAATGTGGCCCGTCTAACCAATAAGTGAAATGCAAAAATGGCTGTGACGATGTTGCAACTAACTGCACTTACTCTAGCACTTCCCGAATTTGTTCGTCGTTCGGTATTTAAAAAAGAACGCAGCTTTTCGGAAAATGAATCTGTTTCCATCGTCAGGTCAAAAGTCGGGATGCACGTACTGGACCTAGTAGTGACTGAGAATAACTCTTCCTAACAAACTCAACTGAGACCCGAAGATGGAAACAGGTAAAGTTTTCGAATCACTTGGTTTTATTCGGAATACCAGATGATGAAATATGCTCAGAAACACAGCGAAACTAACAAGCAGCAAGGCCGCGCCATAGCTCAAGCGGTTAGTCGCTGGCTTCCCACCGCGGCGGCTCGGGTTCGATCCCGGGTCTGCTCAAGTGGGATTTTTGGTGGACAAAGTGGCGCTGGGGCTGGTATAACAGGCCAGAAGTGGCCGCAGTACAAGGGACTTGTCCCACCCCACTAGCAATAAAAAAAGCGGCAAACTAAACAACTAATTA